ACGCCTCGGACCGATTGCGGGCAGTGCGACTCCCGCGCCCCCTTCTCCCACCTGCTGCCCAGGATGAAAAGGAGGAAGAGGAGGAGGAGGAGGAGGAGGAGGAGATGGAGGAGGAGGAGGGGGAGGAGGACGAGAGAGAGTAATGCTAACACGCATAATAGTAGTAGTCACACTTATCAGTGATTGTATGAGTCTGTATAAAGTACGAAGAATACCATGAGGAAGAGCAGTAATATTATTATTAATACAAGTAGGAACACTATGTATAATAACACTACTAAGGGTTCGAGTGCTAAGAAGAGCACGGGACATAATAGTGATAATAAGAATAAGAAGAACAAAACTATGAACACGAATACGGACCACAGTACTCATACCAATACTATCACCAGTAATACTATAGTCAAACTATTCATATCACGAATGAGAAGCAGACTAATGCTGTTACTACTAACGTTAATACTATTTGTAGTAATACTAGCAATGTTGAGACGAATGCTAATAGTACTACCACTTAGAATGATAGCAGTAGGACGACGACTCAGCATACTAGTATTACTAGCATGAAGAAGATTACGACGACTGCTAATATGTATACGAGTGATACTACTCACATCACTACTCACAATACTAATACTGATACTAATAAGACTACTAATACCAATGCTAATAATGCTATGTTTACTAGTAATGCCACCTACCAGAAAAACGTAATCCGACTACGAAGACTTACGCTATCCATACGCGGTTGCACTAACCACAATAATACTGATACTACTCGGAAGACGACCGATACTAACGTGACTACGAATCATAATCATACTATTAGCGATCATACTACCACTAATACTACTAATGCTAGAGCATTTAATAGTACGACTAATCATCGTAGTCGTACTGATGATAAGGATGCTGATGCAAATGGTACTAATACTGCTAGCACTTATAGCAATCATGCACATACTCAGACCACTCACAATAAGAAGACGATGATAATGAGGAGGAGGAGGAGGAGGAGGAGGAGGAACAAGAGGAGGAGGAGGGTGAGGAGGAGGAGGAGGACGAGGAGCAGCAGGAGGAGCAAGAGGAGAAAGATGAGGAGGGTGAACTGGGAGGAGGAGGACGAGGAGGAAGAGCAGATGATGATGATGAGGAGGAGGATGAGGAGGAGGAGGAGGAAGAAGAGGAGGAAGAGGGGAAGAGGAGGAGGAGGAGGATGAGTAGGGGGAAGAGGAGGAGGAGGAAGAGGAGGAGGAGGAGCAGGATGAGGAGGAGGAGGAGCAGGAACAGGAAGATAATGGGAAAATGAGGAGTAGGAACATGAGGATGAGGAGCAAAAGGGTAATTTGCAGGAGGACGAGGATGAGGACGAGGATGTGGATGTGGATGTGGATGAGGAGGAGAAGGAGGAGGAGGACGAGGAGGAGAAGGAGGGTAATGACGAGGACGGTGCGGAAAGGGTGGCCGAGGAGTGTGTGCGTGTGTGTGTGTGTGTGGTGTGTGTGTGTGTGTGTGTGGTGTGTGCGTGTGTGTGTGTGTGTGTTTGTGTGTGTAATTGTCTGTCTGTCTGTCCGTCCGTCCTGTCTGTCTGTCTGTGTGTGTGTGTGTGTGTGTGTGCTTGCGTGCTTGCGTGCGCGCGTGCGTGCGTGCGTGCATGCGTCTCTGTGTGTGTACCTTTACCCTCCTGCTCTCCAACCTTTCTGTTTCTTCTCTTTTCCCTCCCCCTTGTATCCAGACGAGGGCGCGGAGGTGGAGGCGGGGCAGGCTCCCGATAGCCACCCTGAAATACGTACCCTCGGACCAACCTCCGCCTCTCCTCTCGCCCTTCTCCCCCCACCTGTGGGGGCAACACGAAACTAGCAGGAGGAAGTAGAGACGCCAGGGTCGTCGTCGCCGTCGTCGCCGCCGCTGCAGCCGCCGCCGCAGCTGCCGTCGCAGCTGCCTGTGCCGCCGTCGCCACCGCCGCCTCCGCTGCCGTCGCCGCCGCATTCGCCGTCGCCGTCGCATTCGCCGTCGCCGTCGCCGCAGCGGCCGCAGTCGGCGCCCGCGCAGTGGCCGCTTTCGGCGCCGCCGTCATCCTCGCCGCCGCCGCCGTCGCCGCCGCCGCTGCCGTCGCCGCCGCCGTCGCCACCGCCGCCGCCGCTTTTACCGCCCGGAGGTCGCCAGGGGCTCGCCCCTCCCGCAGCCGGGCGTTTCGCTGCTAGAGGACCGCCATGCGCCGCGTCGGCGAGAGATGTCTTGAAGAGGATCCTCCACCTTCCACCATCTCCCTTCCCTCTATATAGCTTCTTCCTGTCGCGCCCCGGGACCGGTCGAAAGGGTGGACTGCTTTTCGCTTGAGACTTCCTCACCAATGATGGTCCTGAAGCGTGAAATGTGCAAGAGTTCCACGGCTAAAGGGCGGTCCGCTTTCAAAATGTGGCTCTCGCCTGAGCGCCGCGCACATTCGTTTGAAAATAGTGCAATCGTTTAGCGGGTGGAGGGCGGCCCGCTTTCCAAATGCGGTTCTCGCCGTACTGCCGCGCACATTCGCTTTAGAAAATTGCAAGAGTTTCACGGATCGAGGCGTACCGTTTTTGATTATGGTTTTCGCATTCGCGCCGCGCGCATTCGCCTTGTAATTTTCCTGGTTTTCGAAATGTGGTTCTCGCTTTAGCCCTGGCAGCGATTCGTGCCTTAGGACCCGGCGCGGATTTGTGTGAGCTGTGCGACGGTGAATCCCGTGCCTCGCAGATACCCATTCGACGACAAGTCGATACAGGCAAAATTCCGACCCGGTTATTGGCTGTGAGTTCGGCGATCCGACCACCCGACAGTACGTCTTACAGTATCTCAAGTCCAACAGTGTATTGATTGTGGTTATGGCACCGTCTTGTCGCAGTACTGTGCCGCTTAGTGGCCTCAACTGCCGTATCAACCATGGGACCAGGCGGACACAATATTCGGAGGATGCGCCACACATCTTCTTCTGCGGGCAAGTTGCGTTGGTACAGAGACACCATGAACGAGATTCCTGTGTCGAACAACCTAACCCTACTTGGCTCAGTACAGTGCCGCTCTGGGAACAAGTATCTACACATCCACGTGTGGATGCGGTTCTGTTCGATCCGTGTTGACTGGGAGCCGAAGGCCCACGCCAGTTCCCAACCCAAAAGAAGCCGTCCGTAGCTATCTCCAACGCTACACCTGCGAGCACCTTTCTGGAACATGAGGTGCAGCGGTCTCCGCGACCACGACGTCAAGTGGGGTCGCAGCCGACGCGCCCAGACACCCCAGGTCTGGCCATGGCGCGTAGCTGATCACGTGGTGTACGGCATCGTCACTCCCAAAGCCGCGGGGGAAGGCTCCCCCGCGCTGATGGCAGAGCTTTGCCCGGCCACAGGGGCCCACATCGGCCCGGAGGCGTTCCAGGAATTTTCACGACTGGAAGAAGCCAACGCGCCACCTGCACCAGCACCAGCGCCAGCACCAGCAGCCGCGCCTACACCAGCAGGCTCAGGCGAGATGATTCGACCACTGATGTGAATGTCGGCGATGTCCTGGAACCGAAACGGGGCAACCATCGTTGATCCAATCCGCGCGGCCGGGAAGGGCGTTTGCCCCGTCGCCGCCGGCTCCAATAATGCATTCCCAAGACCCTCTCTTCGGGAGACACATCCACCCCTGGCTTGCAAAGGCGCGGCCCGCGAGTCAGGAACCCGACAGAGCCTTCTCCGGCCAAGTCACCCAATCAGTAGTCATGTATTTTGGCGATCGTTCCAGCGAGTTTCGAGTGACCACTTGAGTCCGCGATCGGAAGTCATTCGAATTGTCTAGTACATTCGTGTGTTCCGGTGACCACCGATGGGTGGGTTCGTTCTGCGACGTCTGAGGGTGATCGTTTTCTTATTGTTTTGCTGATCGACGCGGGCCTCCCCCCCTCCCCCCTCCCCCATAGAGTCGATCTCGGCTGTTTTTTGGCGCCCGTTTCGAGCGGGCGGAGTCTCCCCCGTGGGGCGCACTGTTGCAAACAGACTCATTAAGCCGAGGTCCGGAGCCAGACCCCCCCCGTTTTCCCACCCGGCGTCGAAGCGCCGAATAAGAAAAAGCTCGCAGGTTCGGACCGGGCCGCCCCCCGGGTGGCGGGCGGCGCGGGGCCAGGGGGATGGGCTTTCGGCGCCAGGATAGCCGCGCGTGAAACCCTCAGCCCAGGATGCTTAAGGTTCCTCGGCAGCGTTTGCGCGTGCCCGCATCTTTCCCTCTGCTCGACCGCGCGAGCTGCCCCGAACGCAGGCAAGGGACAAAGACTTGCAACAGTGAGTGTGGTGATTTTCCGTCGCAGGCAAGCCGCGTGCCCGACCGAGGGCGCCCGAAGCCCCCGAGCGCGCCGCGGGCGCGCGGGCGGCGGCCGTCGCGCCGGCAGCCGAGCAGCCGGCCGACGCACCAAACGCCAAACTGTATCGAAAATGCCCCGGCCGCCGCGGGAATCGTAGCCATCTGGGTCCATCGCTTCGAGATTCCAGGGAAGGGCGCCATCCTTCCATATGTCGAATCACCGTGCTCTTGTCCAGGATGCGCGCGAAATCCGCCGCGAGATAGAGCGCGCCCTGATCGCGCCAGGCGGTCGGGCCGATGGCGCTGGTTCGACGAGCCGCGCAGGGTGGCCCAAGAGCGCCGCGCTGGCCAGCGCGGGGCCTTCACCCGCGAGGCCCAAGTGCAGCAGTCTCGAGATCCCGCGGCAGGAGTCTTTGGATCACGAGCAAGTCTTAACGCCGATGGGCCGCCTCCAGATCGGGGCCCCGTCGAAGGCCCAGCGTCGCCAGCTCCAATCCGCGACGATCTCTTTGATGGCGACGAACCGCAACGGCCGCCCGACCCATCGGCGCCCTGGGCTCCCAGAGCTCCTCGACCGCAACCTCCGGTCGCGGGCGCTGCGACGGGTCGCGCGCCGGGGGGCTGGGCCAGCGGACTGGGCGCGCGCGCGCTGCGACCCGTGGCGCGTCGCAAGTGCGCCGCGAGATCCGCGGGCTACGCGCCCGCTGGCGGCGTGATGCGCGGACTCAGATGGGCGGGGTTCTCGCGGCAGCCTGGCGCCCGAGCGCCGACGTCTATGTCGTCGCAGGCGTGGTGGATGCATGCCGCGAGCGCAGCGCCTGGGCGGGCCACGCGCCGCAAATCGCACCCTTGGTCGAGCTGGTCGCGGCCCCCGACCAGGGCGTGGAAGGGGGCGTCCTCTTCTATCGCGATCTGGCGCATGATCGATAGAGCCGACAGATGGCATGCAGCGGCGCTCCTCGAAGGTGATTCCAGCCGTGCTGGGCGCCGATTTTCTGAGTGCTCGCGCTCTGCAATCTTGGCGCGTTAGCTCTCGATCGCCGGGCCGTTCGAGGCGCTGATCATAGACGGCGAACGTGGCCCCTTTGGCGCCGCAGCTGAGCCAGTCTTCGAGGCCTCGCGGTCCGAGTGCGAGCCCCCGGCTGGCGTGCCCGCCCGATCGAGCGACGCGGTGCAGTCTTGCGGTTGGCGAATAACCTCGTCGTGGAGCGCTGGGGTCAGCGTGCCCGGCCTGCTGTCTGAGGCTGTGTTTTCAAGCGATTCCTTAATTCCCTTCGGAGGCGCAGCGCCGCGCGCCGCGCGATGCGAACGGCAGCCGCGGACGCTGCCGGATATGTTGGCGCTCCCAGATGACGGGGCAGGCGCGGTCCGCGACTCGCGTCGGCTGAGGGTGATCGCCCCGCGGCGACTTGCAGCGGCCTCGGCCGTCTCCCGCGTCGGCCGAGCCGCCAAGGCCATGGCCGCAGTCGCAGGGCAGACCCCGTACTACAAACCAGGTGAGCTGGTCGACTTCCCCCCAGCTCCGCCCGCCGAAGATGCGAGCGGGCGGAGTGGCGCAGCCGCAGTCGTCAAGATGAGCGCCCAGCAAGGCGTCGTCGCCATCAACGATCGAGGCGCTGAACAGATGCCGCCTCGGAGATGTGCGACTGTTCGTGGGCCCTGCTGGGTTGGCATGCAGAGTTCGGCGCCGACCTTCTACGCCCCACTGTCAGGCGTGGGCGAAGTTAGTGCATCATGAGCCTATCGGCGAAGACCCTTCAACGCTCTGGCCTTGCCGACGCTGGCGCGGTCGCCGCCGTCGCCGCCACCGAGTGCATTGTCCGTTGGCCTTGAGTCTCGCTTGCTTAGCCAGAAACGTGTTCAATCTCAACTGTGTCTCGGCCGTCCAGGTCGGCCGCGGCCTCGAGCGCGTCGTGGCCGAAGAAAGTCGAGGCGGATCACTCTGGGCATGGCGGCGACCGGGTCGCGGCGAAGTGGGCGCCCGGTGGAGCTTCGAGGCTGGTGGGCTTAGCCTTGTGGGGCTCCTCGGTTCCGACCGCGGCAACATGTGCTATCTCTTCTTCGTACTTGGACTGGTAGTTGGATCGCTGCTTCGGAGATCTCGTGGAATTCCAGCGCCAAGTTGCAGGCGCTTGGGGGTGTGGCTCCGGTCCTTCGGAGGTGGCATGCGCCTCGACGGGTCCGCGCGCCGCGATGGGATGCTATCCACCTTGTAGGAGGGGTCCCACGAAGACTCCTTGAGCGATCGCTACATCGTCGACACTACATGGTGAATCTCTTCAACGCACGACCGACATGCAGTCGTGAAGGATGCGATGATCACAGATTCGGTTACTTTCGAGGATCTTAGACACGGGTGCCCACCCTGCTCCGTCGTGCCCACTTCCGCGAGTTCAGCCCTCAGAGGTGTGCCTGCGCCGCCATCGCTTCACTGTGGGTGCTGCGACTCCTAGAGGCCGCGGAGGCCATCGACGTTGGCGAGGCTGGGAACGCCTATGCGGCAATGTTGGGCCCAGACGAGATGTGACAATTCGTGCTGGATCGCTCTGTTCCCGACTGTCGCTGCGCGCGCCTCTGGGTCTGCGCGGCAGGAACCAGGAAGCAGCGGTCGAACGTGACGCTGACTCAATTGCCCTCGAAGAATTTCGTGGGCACGCCGTGCTCCAGGTGCTCCAAGTGCGGGTCGATCGCAATTGTTTCTATCGGCGCCCTCGCCGAGGGGCGCGCGGCGTCCTTGACCGCGAGCGGGGCGCGATGCGAAGCAGACCCATCTCAGAAGATTCGGATCGCCCGCGTGAGGCTGGCCCTCCGAGGGCCCCAGGACGCCGGCGCCGATCTCGTCGCCGCCTGCGCGTGCGCCCCATCGCGACTCTCCCAGCGCATGATTGTTTACGAGGCTGCCTGCCGAGGATGGACGGTCGTCGCGCGGGGCGTCGAGAAGGCCTTTCTGGTGGGCGTCAGCTACCGGGGACTTGCGGAGGCAACCGGTAAGGCAGAGTGCGAGGTTAACTTTGAGTTCTCCCCTGACGCCTTTGCAGTCCTGCGCAAAGTGAAGTGGCGCGGAGATGTCGGCCCAGCAGATGAAGTGCTCCGCGTGGGGAAGTCAGGCGCCAGGTGCAAGGGTGCTCTGAGATGTTGGTCCATCCAAACCACCAAGGTCACCAATCAAATGTACCAGGCCATTTCCGCACTGCGCGGACAAGCCTTGCGAGGGGCCACCTGCCTGCGCATGGGCGCCGGAGAAACGGTTGCTCACCGAGCGTTCGTTGGCAAGCAAACGTGTCGCTTATTGGGCTGACATTTTGGAGCGCTCAAAAACGTTTACCCTAAGCACTTTAACAAGGGATCTTCTTGCCACGATCAGTCCAGCAGATCGCGGCCTCGCCCTGGCCACCGCGCTCCATGAAGTGTTCGGAGGACCTCCTTGCCCTGAAGCTGCGCGTTGCCGGCGAGACGGTCGGCAGCTAATCGCGCTGAAGATTGATTGGGCTCTGCCTCGGCTCGATGGGAGCGACCGCGGCCGTTGCATCTACGAGACCTGAGCCTCTGGCAGAACATTCATTCTAGCCGCGTGTGGTCTGGCTTCGTGACCTCCTGAATTCGGGCCAACTGTTGGCCCCGAGCTGGGAAGACACTCGTCGCGTGATCGCGGATGGACTGACCGAGGGCAGCGTGGATAGATCTGCCTTTCGCGACGGGGCCGGCGGCTGTCGTCGGCAGTCGCATGCACCGTGCGCAGTCGCCCTCGTGTCGGTGGCATGCTCGCTGTTGTATGAGGGCGCGAGCGCTGGCCGATCTCCAACAACTAACATGTATCATCGTGCGTGCAGGAGCTGCGTCGTGCTCCGTTCTCCTCGGAACCGTCGGTCCTTCCTCGCCCCCATCTTTTTCGGAGGGTCTGTCACGTGGCGGTGGTTGAGGTGCGTTGTAGCGCGGCAGTTCGGGAGGGCATGCTGTCGGGGGTCGGTTGTTGCGGTGGTCAGCCTTCGCTGTGGCATGGGTGTCGGTGAGCATATGCATGGGCGCATCGGATATGGGAGTAGCAAGAAGCATCAGGGATGAGCATTTTCGATTCCGCTTGCATTCTCCCATTCGCAGGCTCGCGCGCCGCCCGGCTGAAGCGCGCTGAGCCGTTGGTTGTGGCGCGCGCGCCGCCGGGCCTGCGCGCGGGCTCCCGACTCGCGTGGCTGCGCGCTGGCGGCCGCCCGCTGCCGCGCGCGCGTGCCGCCGTGCCTGAGAGCGAGCCGCCGGGCCCCCCGGGGCGGCCGCCCCCTCGCCGCTCGCGCACCGCATCTTCGTCTTCTTGTCACCCGCGGAGGAAGTGGCGTCGCGGGGGGGCGAGGCGCTCGCGGCGACGATCGCAGGTCGATCCGTGCAACGTGCTCGATTCCAAAGGCCCCTCCAGGCGCGTGGGCGAGGGTCGGTGGCCCAGCGGGGCGGCTGGTCATGGTCCGCCCGCCCTCTTGGCGCGCCTCCGATGGTGCCTCCGCGGAGCAGGTCGCGAGGTCGTCGATTGGAACGCCAGGTGCAGCAGTCCAGCGAGGCAATGCGTGTCATTCCAATTCTGTCTGTCTCTCAAGGCCACGTTCGGGCTCGAGAGCCACCCCGTTCCCGTTCGCGCCCGCCATCTCCGCGCAGGTGCCGTCGTGTCTCGCTCTCGGTGGTTGATGCCCGCCAGTAAGGCGCCCGCGCGTGCGCCGAGCCCGCCGAGCGCTCTGCCGCCTCCCGAAGTGCCGGTCGCGGCGCTGTCTAAGGGCTCTCAGCCGCTCGCTCAGAACGACGAGGATATTGCGCATGTCGCGCGCCGCTGGCATCGCGCGGACACGGTGTCGGAACAGGTGCTCCGCCGCAGCCCATTCAGCACCGACATCATGGATCCATATCTTCGCGCAGAATTCGCATTCGAAGCGCGCAGAGCCTTCGGCTGGACAAACGATGCGAGGCCCATGTGTGCAGCGCCCCTCTGAGCTTCGCGCTTGTGATGTTCGTGGCGAAGCTCCGCCATCCTTGGAGTTCGTGGGGCCCTCGGCAGCGGGGCGAATGCAGGCGTTGCCGTGTGCTCGCAACCGTGGGGTCACGGCCCGGCTTCGGTCGCGCGCGACGACTCGTCGCACGGCGTGCCTTCTTCGTCTACGAGCAGGCCGCCCGGCTGCAAACGGCCGGCGGTGCTGCGGCCGCGTGCGTCGCGTTCCCCTTCGCCCCCCGTTGAGCGCGCGCCGCGCGCTCCACCTCGTCGCCACCTCTCTCCAGTGGATCAGCCCCGACCGCGTTCTCGTGGGGCTGCGTGCGACGAGGCCAGCGCGGCTCGCGGTTCGGGCTGGAGACCGACGCTCCGTCGCTTGTCGGCTCCCTGTCCGCTCTGGGCGAGGGCGGGGGCCGCGGCGCCCATCGGCTTCCGCGGGCGCGCCGCGGTGATGGCTGACAATGGCGCGGGCAGAAGCGAGGGCGAGAGCGAGCCCGCTCCGGAGGGCGCCGCCGACCATCCCAATGAGGAAAAGAAGGCCCGCAGGGCTGGGGAAAAGGCCAAGCGCCGGCGCACCGGCGCGGCCCTCCGCGCGGCACGCGCCGACGGGCCGCAGCAGCCGCCCTCGCCCGGGGGCAGTGCCGGGCCCGGCGCGCCCAGCGAGGAGGTCGCCAACGGTGAGCGGCTTCCGCAGATCGCGGCAGCGTTGAAGCCTCGAGGCGATCGTGCCAGGAATCTCGCGCACGTCCCTCGACGTCCATCTCCATCTATCACCTTCTGTCCCACCTGCCAGGTCCCCGTATTGCACTTCCACCGCGCCATTCGCGTGGCCCCAGGGCCATCATCTTGCCTGGGCCCCAGGGCGGGCTTTCAGACGCCGCGTCTGCGGCCCGAGGTCACCGACATCATTCGCAGTGCGGCGCGAGGAAACTCGCGCCGTCATCGCTCGCGCGTGCGAGCTCCTCCAGCGCCGCTCTTACTAGCACGCTCGATCTTCCCGTTGCAGAGGGTGGGCCCGCGCTCCGCCGCGTCTCGCGCCCATCTGGTCAGAATGCGACGGTGTGCGTCGCTGTGTGCCTTTCTTCCTTCGTTCTCTTTTCTCCACCAGAGCTGTTCGATCGCCCGCGCAATCCCGACTCAACAAGGACGGGTCGCCGCTCTTTGGCTCGAGCGTCGACGCATATCTATCAACATTAAGCCTCGCAGTCTACATCTGATGGCCGCCGTGCTTTTTCTCTTGCAGCTTCCAAACCCCGCAACTCTACTTATTCCTCCTCAACCTCCTCCTCGCCCTCCCCCATCACCCCCGCCTCGTCCTCGCCCTTTTCCGCGTCTTTCCCCTTCTCATTCTCCTCTCTGTTCTCCTCCTCTTCCATATCTTCCACCCTCTCCTCCTCTTCATCCTCCTCGTCGTCGTCGTCTTCGTCCTCCTCCTCCTCGCCCTTCTCCTCTTCGTCCTCCTCCTCTTCCTCCTCCTCCTCCTCCTCGATGGCCGGTGCAGCGCCCCAGCGTGCGCCCTGGCCAGAAGCCAGGGGGATGGGGCAAGGTAGCTGTTGGGCCCGTGCGGATCGGCGAACGGCGGGGGCGGCGGGCGACCTGCATGTCAGACAAGAAGGAGGAGACGGAGGAGGAGGAGGAGGAGGGGGAGGAGGAGGAGGAGGAGGAGGAGGAGGAGGAGGAGGAGGAGGAGGAGGAGGAGGAGGAGGCGGAGGAGGAGGCGGGGGTAGGTCGGCGCCTTCCCCCCTGTTTTGCGAGCTGCGGGATTAAGGGCGGGCCGAGGTATGAGATCGGAGTCGGTTCGGGGAGGGTGCCGTGGTGTTCTTCGCGGTTGTTGGATGTTCCTGTGCATCATGGGGTGGGTGCCCTCGAATGCTCCTCAGTTTGGCCTGCGGAGGGCTTTATATTATTCAAGAGTGTTCTTCTGTCCTAGGTCACGTTTCGGGGACGCGTCCCCCTCATTCCTCCCACCCCCTCACCCCCGTTCTCGCTTTCGGATGTGTCCAATCCCCTTTCCCCTACTTCCCCTCCTCGTCCTCATCCTCATCCTCGTCCTCGTCGTTTTCCTCCTCCTCCTCCTCCTCGTACTGCCCCTCGTCCACTTCCTCCTCCTCCTCCTCCTCCTCTTCCTCCTCCTTTTCCTCCTCCTCCACCTCCTCTTCCTCCTCTTCCTCCTCCTTTTCCTCCTCCTCTCCCTTCTCCTCCTCCTCATCCTTTTCCTCCTCTTGGCGACGACGGCAATGCGGCAGAGGCGCGGTTGTCGAACGTCCGCCCGCACTGCCGCTCCCAAAGGCCGAGAACCTTCGACTCTCGCAGCAGCTGCACGACAAGAGGCTCGAACTGCAGGCGCATGTCCGCCGACGACGCCGCCGCCGTCCCAGACATCCAACGTACTGGCAAAAGTCAAGACGGAGGCTCTTCATCGTTTCGGCGCCTGGGGGCCTTAGCCGGCTCCACGGACCGTCCAAAACCGGTCGGGCACGAAAAGCTAGTCGCCTGGAAGTGGTCCAGCGTTCTGGGGGCCTCATATTTTAAACCAGCGAAAACATGGGAGGTCTGGGGTCGTCGCCGCCGCCGCCATTTATCATCGTGCCCACCTGGAAATCCTCGGGCCCGTTGTCCAACCTGCCCACTTGGGCAGGGACAGTGCCATCTTCGTCGGGTTTCGCCGCATCGATCTCCAGTTTGATTGGAGAAGGCTTGTGGCGCCAAGAAACCCAGGCCCACTGTGGATGGATACAGGGCCGACGATGCTGCTGAGCCTTCGCCTTCGCTTTCACCTTCGCCTTCGCCATCGTCTTCGCCATCGCCTTCGCCTTCGCCGTCGCCTTCGCCGTCGCCTTCGCCGTCGCCTTCGCCCTCGCCTTCGCCGCCTTCGCCGCCTGCGCCTCCGCTTTCGCCTTCGCCGTCGCCGCCGCCGCCGTCGCCGTCGCCGTCGCCGTCGCCGCCGCCGCCGCCGCCGCCGTCGCCGTCGCCGTCGCCGTCGCCGTCGCCGTCGCCGTCGCCGTCGCCGTCGCCGTCGTCGTCATCGACGTCGTCGTCGCCGTCGTCGTCGCACGTCGTCGTCGCTGAGTGTTCCTGGCACGTCGGAGGCCTCCAGAGACCCCCGGCGGCCTCTTGAGGCCTTCAAGGGTCGCCGCCGCCGATCCCCAGCTGCCGATGGTGTCGCTTCTCCCGTCCAGAGGCCCTAACCTCCAAGGTGGAGGATCGACCTCCAATCTTGATGTCTTTTCCCCTGCTTCCTGCAGGTTCCCTCCAGCTGTCCTTCTCGTCCGTCTCCTCGCCTCGCTCCCTCGACTCCTCTTGGGCGGCCTTTCTCTCGCTCTTCCAGCGCCGCTGCGGTTTGGCTCGGCCTGGAGAGCTGGGGGTTCAACCCCGCGGCCTATTTTGGCCGTGGGGCTGTGTCGTGGGGGCGCTGGTCCGTCGGCCGTCCAGGCCTGCCTACGATCCAATTCGGTGCGATTCGATTGGCCTGCCTGGGCCGCGATTCTGATTCGATCCGATCTGGTTCGACTTCGACGGCGACGACGACGAGGATGCTGCTGCTGCTGCTGATGCTGCTGATTCTGCTGAGGATGCTGCGGATGAAGATGTTGATGTTGATGTCGATGACGCTGACGGTGACGATGACGATGCTAATGATGATGACGATGATGATGATGATGCTGCTGCTGTTGATGATGATGATGCAGATGCTGATTGTGATGATGATGATGATGATGATGATGATGATGATGATGATGATGATGATGATGGCGGTTGTGGTGATGGCGATGCTGATGGTGATGATGATGATGTTGATGATGCTGATGGTGATTATGCTGATGATCATGATGATGATGATGATGATGATGATGATGATGTTGATGCTCCTGATGATGATGCTGTTTTTATTGTTGTTATTTGTGGTGGTGCTGATGGTGATTATGATTATAGTGATGGTGACGATGACGATGACGATGATGATGCTGATGATGATGATTGTGATTCTGCCCATGATGATGATGCTGATGCTGATGCTGCTGATGATGCTGGTGATGATGATTGTGATTCTGATGATGTTGACGATGATTTGATGGTTGTTGTGGTGGTGGTGATGATGATGATCGTGATGATGCTGATGATGGTGATGGTGATTCTGCTGATGATGCTGATTCTGATGCTGATGCTCATGATGCTGATGATGTTGATGACGATGATGGTGATGATGATGCTGATGATGATGATGGTGTGGCTGTTGATGATACTGCTTATTCTGATGATGGTGATGATGATGCTGACGACGATGATGCATGTGATGATGATGCTGCTGCTGATGATGATGATGATCATGACGATGCTGATGTTGATGATGATGTTTATCAATGTGATGATAATGGCAATAATGATGATGCTGCTGATGATGATGATGCTGATGATGATGCTGATGGTGGTGATGATGATGATTTTGATGATGATGATGCTGATGGTGATGATGAAGATAATCACGATGATGATGATGATGATGATGATGATGATGATGATGATGATGATGATGATGATGATGCTGATGCTGATGATGATGATGATGATGATGATGATGATGATGATGATGATGATGATGATGCTGATGCTGCTGATGATGATGATGATGATGATGATGATGAGGATGATGAGGATGATGAGGATGATGAGGATGATGATGACGATGATGATGATGAGGAGGAGGAGGAGGATTATGCTGATGATGATGACGAGGCTGATAATGGAGACGACGTCGACGACAACGACGTCGAAGATGATGAAGATGATGACGATGATGTTGCTGCTGCTGATGAGGAGGAGGAGAAGTAGGAGGAGGAAGAGGATTTCTTTTTATTTGAATTATCACAAAATGGTAATGGTAAGGACATGAAGCCTACGAGTACGAGTAAATCTACCTACGATCTTATTCATATCAAGCTTAACAATACCAACGTTCATAATGCTAATACGACAACGTATATGCAAGCCACACATATGTATAACATTCGCAAGGCGAATTGTACACATTAAAAACAGACTCATAAGAATAATGCGAATATTAATCATGATCCTACCAACAGAAATCACCGTACTACTCGTAAGAAGAGGAGGAGGAGGAGGAGGAGGAGGAGGAGGAGGAGGAGGAGGAGGAGGAGGAGGAGGAGGAGGAGGAGGAGGAGGAGGAGGAGAGGCAGGAGGAGGAGGAGGAGGAGCAGGAGGAGGAGGAGGAGGAGGAGGAACGGGAGGAGGCGGAGGAGGAGGAGGAGGAGAGGAACGAGGGCCAACCTTCGCGGTCGTGGCCCTCGCGCGGCCGCCTCGGCGAGCTCGTGGCGGCGGCGGAGCGCCCCCCCAGCGTGCGCGCGCGCCCGCCCCAGGAGCTGCTGAGACTCACGCGGGCCCTGGGCGTGCGGCTGACCGGCCCGGAAGCCCCGCCCCCGTGGGGGGGTTGGCACGTGGCGGCCGCCGTCGGCGGCTCTCTCGGCGGCCTCCCGGCGGCCCCGCGGCGGCCCTCGGCGGCCTTCGGCAGAGGCGCGGAGGTCGTCGTCGTCGTCGTCGTCGTCGTCGTCGTCGTCGTCGTCGTCGTCGTCGTCGTCGTCGTCGCTGGTTTTGCCAGCGTTAGCGGCATTGGTGTCGGCGTCGGCGTCGTCATCGCCCCCTCGTCCTCGTCCTCGTCCTAGTCCTCCTCCTCCTTCTCCTGCTTTGTCGTTCCTCCACCGTCCTCGTTTTCATCCCTCCTTTCCTCGTCCCGTCATTCGTCCCTTTCAGAGGCCATCCAGAGACGAAGTCGGAGACTCTGAAACGAGGTATTGGGTGAGTGAGACTATGCATAGATTGGTGTTTGGGCGATCTGGCGTCTTCGGTCGCCCCTATCTATGCAGGCGCCTATCAGTGCAGGGGCCTCTTTCTGCTCGGGAACGAGTATGCGTAGTCGCCTTTCTTTTAATGAGTACCATAAGCCCAGAGGCTGTGATAGGTCGGTGGGGGTAGCTCCCGACGCCCAGCCTTGAGGCCTGTCGGCTTCTAATGCGTCCGATGTTCGGGGAATGAGTCCGTCTAGGCTCATTCCTTGTCGAGCTCCGTAATTCTTGGTCAGAGATTTCGTGCGCTGAATCTCTCGTGCCGTTTTGCCTGACGCACCGACAGATGTTTGTGTGCACCTTGAGCTAGCGCAGGAGAGGCGAGTGAAGCGCTGTCCCTTCCCTCCCGGGTTTTCAACGGAGGCGTCCGGGTTGGGGCGGGCGGGGGGGGGCGCGACGCGTGTTCGTCGGTTGTCTGGCTCATGGTGTGAACGCCCTATACGTTGACGCATACCCTCATGCATCGCCATACTACTTCCATCTCTGATGGCGTACTTGTTTCGGATGCTATGTGACGTTGCCAAGTTGCTGTCGATCTGGATGATGATGATTATGATGATGATGATGCTGATGATGATGATTATGGTGATGATGATGATCACAATGATGCTGATGATGATGCTGACGACGACGATGATGATGATGATGATAATGATGATGATACTGATGATGACGATGGTGCTGATGATGCTGATGATGATAATGATGGTGACGATAGTGATTGTGATGATGGTGATGCTGCTGCTGATGATTATGGTTGTGGTTGTGGTGGTGATGATGCTGCTGATGATGATGATGGTGATGCTGCTGCTGATGATGATGCTGATGATACTGATGATGATGCTGCTGCTGATGCTGATGCTCACGATGCTGATGATGATGATGATGCTAATGCTGATGCTGATGCTGATGCCGATGGTGAGTGCTGCTGATGATGCTGCTGATGATGAGTGCTGGTGATGATGCTGATGATGATGATGCCGATGCTGCTGATACAGATGCTAATGACGCTGATGCTGATGATGCTGATGCTGCTGATGCTGATGCTGGCGATAAGATAACGAGGATCATGATGAGGAGGATGAGGACGAATATGATGATGATGATGATGTTGATGCTGATGCTGATGCTAATGATTCAGATTCTCATCATGATGCTGCTGCTCATGATGATGTTGATGATGATGACGATGACGATGATCATGACGATGACGATACTGAAGATGATGCTGATGATGATGCTGATGCTGATGCTGATGTTTTTGATGATGATGATGCTGATGCTGATTATGATGATGATGATGATGATGATGATGATGATGATGATGATGATGATGATGATGCGGCTGATGATGATGACGATGATGATGATGCTGATGATGATGCTGATGACGATGCTCATGATAATGCTGACGATCATGCTGATGATGATGATGCTGCTGCTGCTGATGATGCTAGTGCTGATGCTGATTATGATGCTGTTGGTTATGCTGATGATGATGTTGCCGATGAGGATGATACTGCTGATGATGAGGATGCTGTTAGGATGATGATGGTGATGCCGATGATGATGATGATGCTGCTGATGATGATGCCGCTGCTGCTGATGATACGGATGCTGATGATGCTGATGATGATGATGATGACGATGATGATGGTGATGATGATGGTGCTGCTGCTGCTGATGCTGATGATGACAATGCTGATTATGCTGATGATGCTGCTGCTGATGATGATGACGATGATGATGCTGATGCTGATGCTGATGCTGATGCTGATGCTGCTGATGATGATGCTGGCGATGCTGATGATGATGATGATGATGATGATGATGATGCTGATGATGATGCTGCTGCTGATGATGATGATGCTGATGCTGATGATGATGATGATGGTGATGATGATGATGGCGATGACGATGACGGTGACGATGATGATGCGGGATATGATGCTGATGATGCTGATGCTGATGCTGATGCTGATGCTGCTGATCATGATGACGATGCTGATGATGCTGCTGATGATGATGATGATGCTGATGATGATGATGATGATGATGAAGACGATGATGATGATGATGATGATGATGATGATGATGATGATGATGATGATGATGATGATGATGATGATGATGATGATGATGATGATGATGATGATGATGATGATGATGATGATGATGATGTGATGATGATGATGATGATGTGATGCTTATGATGATGATGATGATGATGCTGATGATGATGATGATGATGATGATGATGGTGACGATGCTGCTGATGCTGATTGATGATGCTGATGCTGATGGTGATGATGATGATGATGATGATGATGATGATGATGATGATGGTGATGATGATGATGATGATGATGATGATGATGATGATGATGATGATGATGATGATGCTGATGATGATGATGATGATGTTGATGATGCTGATGATGCTGCTGATGATGATGATGAGGAGGAGGAGTAGGAGGAGGCGGAGGAGGGATGAGGGATGAGGGGGGGTGGGAGGAGTGAGGAGGGAGATGAGGAGGAGGGATGAGGAGGGGAGGGAGGGGGGAAGGAGGAGGAGGAGAGGAGGAGGAGGAGGCGGAGGTTTGAGGAGGAGGAGGAGGAAGAGGAGGAGAAGGTTGAGGAGGAGGCGGAGGAGAAGGAAGAGACGGAGGAGGATGAGGAGGAGGTCGTGGTGGCGTGCCTCAGTGGTTGGACAGCAAATGCAACATGCTTCCTCGGGCAGCTGCGGTTCGTTGTCCCAGCCCTCCTCACCAGTGCGGTCCCCGGTAGTTGTGACCATGAAGAGGTC